AGAGGGAGGGGAGGGGGAAGGGAGGGAGGAGGAGGAGGAGAGGGAGGGGAGGGGGAAGGGAGGGAGGAGGAGGAGGAGAGGGAGGGGAGGGGGAAGGGAGGGAGGAGGAGGGAGGGAGAGGAGGTAGAGAGGGAGGGAGGGGAGGAGGAGGGGGAGGGAAGGAACAAAGGACCTAGTCAGTGGCGGCTCAGGTTAGGGTTAGGGTTAGAGCTGCCCACACGGCTGATGTAATTGATCCGCCCCCATCCTCGGGTGAAGGGCTGGCCCCATCACCGCGGATCACACACGGGAAACGTGGGGATGAGGAGGCCCAGTGATTTACCCAGGTTGCCCGGCTGGGAGCGTGAAAGCCAGCTCTGCAGTCCCAGGCCGCGCCTACCTGCACTGCAGCTCACCCTGAATATGGCACTCTCCGGGGGCAGGGAACCCCCAAGGGGCAGACATGGTGTGGGCGGACCCCCAAGGCTTGGCACAGTGTCAGCTCAAGCGGGTCCTCCACAAGTGCTAACTAGTTCAATGCCATGTGATGTTACAGAAGGACCGGGGCACACATACCTAGACAGAGGGTGCAGGGGACCCAAGGTAAACCATCTCCCTCTGCACCCCATCACCCTGAGATCATCTCTGACTATTGCATACCCTTGAGAACAGGCCCTGTTCTGGACAAGGGGTGAAGCTAGAGTCCCACAGAAAAGAAAATATATATAAGTAGCTCTAATATGATGGGAAATCAGGTTTATAACAAGATGGGTACAGATGAAATGTTACAGTTAAAGGTGGGCTTCATGGCTGAGGTGGCATCTGAATTCCATACTGCACTTAAAGAGTAAGCACCTCAGTCACTTCTTTTATCCCCTGAGGGATAAGAGGCTTAGGTCATGATCTCACAGTTCGTGGGTTAGAGCCCGCGTTGGGCTCTCTGCTGACAGCTCAGAGCCTGGAGCCTGCTTTCAGATTCTGTGTCTCCCTGTGTCTCTGACCCTCCCCTGCTCACGCTGTCTCTCTCTCTCTCTCAGAAATAAATAAAACATTAAAAACAAAATTAAAAAGAAAAGTACATGAGTTGGGACTGAGAGGAAACTGTTCTAACCCCCTCGCCCCTTTCCCCGCTCCACCACTAACTGGCCATCAAATCCTGGACAAGTTACTTCACCTCTGAGCTCCTGCTCCTCACCTGTCCCACAGATGCCCAGTCCTTTCAGGGCTGCAAGTTCACAGGAGGGTTCATCAGGTAACATGAATAACAGTAACAACTGGCATCTTAAAGTCTTTTTTTTTTTTAAAGAACTTATTTCTAACGTTTATTCATTTTTTGAGAGGGAGAGAAACAGAGCACGAATGCAGGAGGGACAGAGATAGAGGGAGACACAGAATTGGAAGCAGGCTCCAGGCTCTGAGCTGTCAGTACAGAGCCTGACATGGGACTCGAACCCACAGACCGCGAGATCATGACCTGAGCTGGAGTCTGACGCTTAACCTACTGAGCCACCCAGGCGCCCTGGCATCTTAAAGTCTTAAATCACCACTAAGCACTTGACCTGCTTTATCACATCTAATATTCGAAACACCCCCCCCCCCAGGGGGTGTAGATACTATCTCTGTCTCCATTTACAGAGAAGGAAGGAAGCTGAGCCTCACACTCGAAATGGAAATCTGGAAATCGCCTGCCCGGGGTCACCAGGTCCTGGCCACTGGGCCCCTCCATGCTGTGGAATGTGCCAGCTAGGAAGGGGCAGTGTCATTCTCTACACTCTAGGTGCCTGACCCTGCCCATAGCTCAGGGCTGCGAATGCCAGTTCCATGGAGTTTAGGACCAGTGAGGCAGAACCTCAGCTTGAGGCTCTCGGCCAGCAGCCAGGCAGCTGAGGCGATGGCTGGTGAGGGCCACTTTATGCCTGTGGGTGACAGCGCCTCACACCTCTCTTACTACAGATTCCTTTTTAAATTTTTTTTATTTTTTGTTTTTGCTTTTTTTTCTTAGTTTGTGGTCAAGTTGGTTTCCATGTAACACTCAGTGCTCATCACAAGTGCCCTCCTCCATGCTCATCACCCCCCCTTCCCTTCTCCCCTACTCCCCTCGGCACTCAGTTTGTTCTCGGCATTCAAGAGTCTCTTATGGTTTGCCTCCCTCCCTCTCCCCCACTATCTTTCCCCTTCTCCTCCCCCAAGGTCCTCTGTTCAGTTTCTCCTAATCCACCTATACGTGCCAACATATGGTATCTGTCCTTCTCTGCCTGACTTATTTCGCTCAGCATAACACCCTCAAGGTCCATCCATGTTGCTACACATGGCCAGATTTCATGGTTTCTCATTGCCATGTAGTATTCCATGGCCATGAGATATATAGATAAGTGGTATAGATAAACCACTTCTTCTTGATCCATTGGTCCGTTGATGAACACTTAGGCTAGGAATTTATCTAAGGGATACAGGAGTGCTGATGGATAGGGGCACGTGCTAATGCAGCACTCACAGCAATAGCCAAAACATGGAAAGAGCTTAAGTGTACAAATTCCTATTTTTAAATGAAGTCAGAGGAAAAGGGAAAAGACGGCCAGGGAAAACACTAGAGCTACAGCCAGTTAATCCACTTCTCCCAACTCCAGAGACAGTTTTTAATGTCTGTAGTTTCCAGTAGATTCAGTTGTTTAAAAAGCCCACTAAAGGGGCACCTGGGTGGCTCAGTCGATTAAGCGTCTGACTTCGGCTCAGGTCATAATGTTGGTTCGTGAGTTCGAGCTCTGCATCGGGCTCAGTGCTGACGGCTCCAAGCCTGGAGCCTGCTTTGCATTCTGTGTCTCCCTCTGCCTCTCCCCCTCTCATGCTCTGTCTCTCATAAATAAATAAAAAACAGGGACGCCTGGGTGGCTCAGTTGGTTAAGCGTCCGACTTCAGCTCAGGTCATGATCTCAAGGTTCATGGGTTCGAGCCCCGTGTCGGGCTCTGTGCTGACAGCTCAGAGCCTGGAGCCTGCTTCAGATTCTGTATCTCCCTCTCTCTCTGACCTTCCCCTGCTCACACTGTCTCTGTCTCTCTCTCAAAAATAAATAAAACATTAAGAAAATAAATAAAACATTAAAAATTTTTTAATAAATAAAAATAAAAAGTTCACTGAAAAAGTCATTCCACAGGGTCAAATCTATAGAAGGCTTACCTACACAATTAGCTTTTAGAATTTAATGATAAATTTGGTAGGAAAGAAAAGATTAATAATTCTGAGAGTAGCGGTACCTGGGTGGCTCAGTAGGTTAAGCGTCTGACTTTGGCTCAGGGCATGATCTCATGGCTCGTGGGTTCGAGCCCCTCATCAGCCTCTGTGCTGACAGCTCAGAGCCTGGAGCCTGCTTACAATTCTGTGCCTGCATCTCTCTCTGCCCTTCACTGGCTTGTGCTCTCGCTATCTTTCTCTCTCTCAAAAATAAACATTAAGAAAATAATTCTGAGAGTCGAGTGCATGCAAACTTCCTCAGTGACAGCACCCTAGCCTAGCAGCTAAGACTCTTCCCCTCCTCCAGCCACCAGCTTCCTCCCCTCTTGGCATGCCTTCTATAAGTTCCTGGCTACATACCTCAAACGTCCTGATTCACTTGCTCTGCACTAGTAGGTTTAAAAACTTCCCTGGCGAAGTCTGTTCCCCAATACTGCAGGTGATACACTCACACTAAGAAATTGTTTGTTGTTTATCTGAAATTCACACCTAACTGGGAAGCTTGTATCTCAGCTGGCAGTTTACTTCCTTTCCCCCACTCCCTTCCATACCATGGGCAAATCTTGTCAGTTATACTTGAAAATAATAATAATAATAATAATAATAATAATAACTGCCCCAAACATGCAGAATCGGTGCTCAAACAATCAGGCCAAGTTTCTCTCTTACACACACACACACACACACCCCGGCAGCACGGTAAGGCCTTTCTGTTCACTCTGGGGCTACATCAGACGTTGGGGTGACCTCCTTCTCCCCTCTCCCCACCACCTCGGGGTGGAGGATTTCGGGACTCTACTACCACCTCCACAGTATCATTTCCACTGGCCAACCCTGAACTTATCGTTAAAACAACTAGCAGCTGTCCCTCCTCACAGATTCCAAGACACCGCTGCCAGAGTGTTTTTCCAGAAGTGGTGATCAAAGGCACTCCCTCGCTCTCTGCACCCTCCCATTATCTTCTAGCCTGGGTAAATAGGCTGGAAAAAAAAAAAAGGCTGAAGGCGGAGAAAAGCAGTCCGTGGCAGATTTTCACTACCCCCACCCTTCCCCATAGAAATTTAAAAAGGATGGACTTGCTAGTACCATCCCCAGGTCGGGCCAAAGTCAGAAAAAGTCTAAAAGTGCACCTCCCCCTCCAGCGGGAGGACCACAGTTCCTAAACAGAGGAGGAGGCCCGTCTGTCGCTAGAGCGGTGCTCTAACGCCCGTCCGGAAACCCCGGGCAGACGCTTGCCCCGGGCTCCCCAAGGCCCGGGTGATAGCGGCGACGGCCGCCCACGGCACCCCCGCGGCGCCGAGCGCGCCTCTTCCGCCCGCCCCAATCAGCCTTCTTTTCCTCCTTCAGTTCCCGAGTCTCCGCCACGCCGAAGGAAGTACTCGCGCCGGCTCCTTCCTGGAGAAAGAGCCCACTGGTTCCGGAAGCTTCCTCCAGCCCCCCGGACAAGTCCCGTCGGACGCGACCACCGGCCCAGGGGACTCAGTTCAAATAGCTGGGCCCAGCGCCCCCACGTCTCCCCGGACAGCACCGCCCCCCGAGCGCCCGCAAGCCCCCTCCCACCCAGCCCCGCGGCCGCCTCGCGTCCCCCGCGCCCGGGAAGCCCCGTCCTCGCCTCCGCGGACGCTGAGGACCCAGTCCCCGAAGCTCCCCCGTCCCCCTGGCCCGCACGAAGGCAAGTTGCTGCCCGCCGCTCGGTCACCTTGGCCGTCACCGAGGGGCCTCGCCTGCTGACGCCCGAGGCCCCCGCAGAGGGCACGAGCGCGCCGAGCCCCACGCAGAGCGCGAGAGGTAGCAGCAGCCGGGGACCCGGGCCCATGGCAAGCGGCGGCAGTGGCGGCAGGGGCTCGGACGCCACCGCAGCCTGCGGGACCGATGGCCGGACTCCCGGGCGGCTGCGCCTGCGCGCTCCCGACTTGGGGAGTGGGGGGGATGGGATGGGGCGGCGGGGCTGGGCCGGAACCTGGGACGCGCTCCTCCCAAGTTCAGCCCGGCGACCCGCTGGGGACTGGGAGCGGCGCGCCGCGGAGGGCGCAGCCCGGGCCGACCGCCGCTCTCCGCCGGGTGCGCGCGGCGTCGGGGTCCTAGGGAGCCCGCGCTGCTCGGCCGCGGTGCCCGGGAGAGGCGCGCAGCCACGAGGCCCGAGAGCTGCGGAGTGCGGGCGGGGCATCTCCGGCCACCGACGGCGTAGACGCATGTTAAACGTGCTGCAAAGTTGAGGACTGTCCGCGCTGCGAGTCCGCGTAGCAACTTGGGCGCAGCCGGGCAGGGGTCTCTGCGGAAGGGCCCTCGTGGGTGACCGCGGGTGGCCTAGGAGACGCCCCCGCCGCGCCTGCTGGGGTCCCTCAGAGGCTTTAGCTTAAAGATTTGGACGGCTGTCAGAGCTTTGGGAGCCCTGAGAGCCGATTACACGTGACGAACGACCCTTCACCGAGATGACTCAAGTTGGAGATACACGTTTTACAAACCTAAAAATTAGGTTTAGGAAGATTATTTAATGATACGGCGAAAGCTCATTATTTCCTCTAATGGAAAACTCAGGTTGCAGAGTCACGTGGAAGTTCTGATCTCAACTGTGAAAATACATATATAAAGACTTCTTTAAAAAGGAGAGAAACGTACCAAACCCTTAACGGTAACTGAATTAGGGATTTTTGCTCTTTCTAATGTTCTGATTTCCCAGGTGTTCTGTATTAAGCATGTAAGTACTTTGTAATCAGGAAAATATTATTTTAAAACTCAGTGCTTTCTGAATTTAGGACTTCAAAGAACTTTTGAATTTTAGAGTAATAGCTCCAAAGTTAACTGCAAATTAATAATAGTATTCACTTGGTTTTCTTTTTGTGTGTGTGTTTATTTTTGAAAGAGAGAGAGAGACAGCGAGCTGGAGAGGGGCAGAGAAAGAGAAGAGAGGGAGACGCAGAATCTGAAGCAGGCTCCAGGGCTCATAGCTGTCAGCATGCATCCCATGTGGGGCTTGAACTCAGGAACCTTGAGATCAGGACTTGAGCTGAAGTCCAGCACTTAAGTGACTGAGGCACCCGGATGCCCCTCTCTTGGTTTTCTGAGTGGCTGGTGCCATGACTTTCAAGCCAAGATTTTACTTGGGTAAGCAGATAGGATTCTTATGTGTCAGTGTGGATCTAAAATTAAACTGGAACTATTTCTTGTATGTAAAAAGAGTGACTGCTACTTTGGAGGGATGGGCAGTACACTTCTGAATTACTTTAATAACTCAATCTAGGGAAAGAGCTGATGGCTTTCCTCGTAACCTCCCGCCCCCAATAAAGTCACCCTTCTTATCTATAAATTGTAGCAGTCTAAGGGTATCAGAGCATTTATCACATGGAGCGATTGCATTTATTTATCTGTACTCATTACTGTAATCGTTTTTGGCCGCCTCAGTTACCAGAACGCAAGCGCTGCCAGAGCAGGGAGCACACCTGTTTTTATTCCCGTTGATGACCCAGATCTAATACCGTGTCTGGTCTATAGTGGTTTCTCAGTAAATATTTGTTCAGTGGATGAATGTGTCTGTCTACCTAGGTTTTAAAAATCACTTTATTGTGCGGCGTTTGGGTGGCTCAGTCGGTTAAGCTTCTGACTCTTGATCTCAGCTCAGGTCTTGATCTCAGGGTCTTACTCTCAGAGTGGTGAGTTCAAGTCCCAAGTGTGTTGGGCTCCACACTTGGCATGGAGCCTACTTTTAAAAAAATCACTGTATGGGAAGATTAATACAAATAAAGTGCACAGACTGAAGTCAATGAATTATCACAAAGAAAACACCACTAGAACCTGCCGCCCCCAAAGAAATGAGATAGTCAACAGGTCCCTGAAAATCCTCTTGTATCTGCTCCCAGCTACTAACCCTTTCTTTCCCCCCAAATCCTGACTTCTTGCCTTATGGTTTAGTTTAGTTTTTTAACTTCGTATAAATGGAATCTCCCAGCTTGTATTCCTTTGCTCAAGTTTATGCTTGTGAAATTCATCTCTGTTTTTGCACATAGCTATTTTGGTGCATAGGACAAGGTAGGGGTCAAATTCCATTCCCCCTATAGGGAATATCCGCCCAGCTCAGCACAATTTACTGGACAGTCTCTCCTTTTTCCTAACTGCTCTGTAGTGCCTCTTCCGTCATGGACAAGTGTCCCTACGTGCATGGATCTGCTTGGGGACCCTCTCTTCCGTCCACCTGGCAGCTTCGCCTATCTCCGTGCCCGTACACATTGTCACAATGAAATCAGCTTTATAGTAAGTCTTCATATTTAGTAACACAAGCACTGTCACTTTGTACAACAGATTCTTGGCTGTTCTTGACCTTTTCCGTGTCCATATGATCTTGAGAATCAGCTTGTCATTTCCATAAACTGGGATTTTGATCAGGGTTGCACTTTATCTACAGATCCTTTTGGAAAGAGTTGCCATGTTTGTAATAATTCCAGTCCATGAACGTGGCGTATTTCTTCGTTTATTTGGGTCTTCTTTAATTTCTCTCAATAAGATCTTCTAGTTCTCTACCAAAAGTTCTTATACGTTTTTTGTTAGATGGACTTCAAGGTGTTTGGGGGGTTTTGGGTGGTGCTATCGTCATTGATACCCTTTTAAACATTTATTATCCTGTTTGTTGCTATTGTAGTAAAATTAATTGTATATATTTTGAATAAATTTATACTTATTAGTTAATAATCAATTTTGTTACACTTATTAGTTCTAATCACTTATCTGTGAATTATTCAGGACTTTCTACACAGACAACTATATCACCGATAGGTAATGAATTTTCCTTTTTCCTTTCTAATCTTTATGTCTTTCCTTTCTTTTTCTTGCCTTATTGCATTGGCCAGCAGCGTCAGTACAAAAGGAAGTAGCAGTAGGGCAAGTCTTTCTTTTGTGGGTTGAATTGTGTTCCCCCAAAAGATAAGTCGAAGCCCTAAGCCCCAGAACCTGTGAATGTGAGTGTAATCGGAAATAGGGTCTTTGTAAATGTAGAGCCAAGATGAAATCATGCTGGAGTGGGATGTGCCTTCCTCCAGTATGACTGGTGTTCTTATAAAAAGAGGAGAGACAAAGACGTACACAGAGAAGGACACCATGTGAAGACAGAGACAGAAATTTTAATGCTGCGTTTGTAAGCCAAGGGCTTCTAGGGATTGTTGACAACCACCGGAAGCTAGGAAGAGCCCAGGAAGGATCTGCCACTAAGGCCTTCAGAGAGAACATGGCCAGGAGAATGCCTTGATTTCAGACTTGTAGCCTCCAGAGTTGTGAGACAATCAATTTCTGTTTGGAGCTGTGCGCTTTGTGGGAGTTAGTTACAGCAGCCCTAGGCAGCCAAGTCCACGCGTTTTGTTCCCATTCCAGAGGGAAAGCTTTGAGTATTTCACCTTTAAGTCTCATATTTGCTGCAGGTTCTTTTGAGAATGGGCATCATTTTTCTCCCCCTTAATGTTAATTCATTCTTGAGAGAGAGAGCACAAGTGAGGGAGGGACAGAGAGAGAGGGAGACACAGAATCTGAAGCAGGCTCCAGGCTCTGAGCTGTCAGCACAGAGCCCGATGCAGGGCTCAAACTCACAGACAGCGAGATTATGACCTGAGCAGAAGTCGGACACTTAACCAACTGAGCCACCCAGGCGCCCCAGTGAATGGGCATCATTTTTTAGCTTATGAAAATTCCTTTCTAGTCCTAGTTTGTTAAAAGTCTTTATGGTGAGTTTGATCGACATCATCTGTGGAAGTCAACTGAAAGAGGTTTCCCCCCAGTCTGTTAATGTGGTAAATTGCATTGATTTTGAATTCTTAACCCAGCACTGCATTCTGGTATATACCCAATATATATTGGCCTTTTTATGTATTGCTAGATATGGTGTGCTCATTAGAAGGAAAAAAAAGACAACTTACCAAAAACTGAAAAAAGACATTTTTCCTGAAGTTTGGGTAAAAAATAGTGCGTAAAGTGGCTCTGGCTTTCGAGTTCAGACCAAGCTGATCTTTAACACTTCATCTTGATGGAGAAGTTTGCTAATCTTATGTTCACCACATCAGCATCTGTATTTGTAAGTCAGACCAGTGTGAAATTTTCCTTCCTCGGAATTTCCTGTCCGTTTTTATAAGTCAGGGTTATTCTAGACCTTTTAATAGAACTTGGTGAATGGTAGCTATCCTTCCTGGGCTCTGAATGGGTGTGTGTGCCTTCTTTTCTTCCTTGAATGTTTCTTAGGATCCATCAGGACCTGCACTTTTCTTTATGGGAAAGTTGTAAATTATAGGTTTAATTTTTTCAAGTAGTTGATGAATTATTTAACTTTTCTATTCTTCCATCAGTTTTTACATGTAGCATATTTTGGGGAATTTCTCTATTTTAGTTATATTTTAATATTTACTTCCACAAAGGTGTTTAATACCTCTTTTATTTTTATTTATTTAAAAAAAATTTTTTTAATGTTTATTTTTGAGAGAGAGAGACAGAGAGAGTGCAAGCATGGGAGGGGCAGAGAGAGAGGGAGACACAGAATCCAAAGCAGGCTCTGGGTCTGAGCTGCCAGCACAGAGCCCACGAACCGTGAGATCATGACCTGAGCTGAAGTCAGATGCTTAACCCACTGAGCCAGCCAGACACCCCAGTACATCTTTTTATAATTTTATAGATCTGCAGGCCTTACAGTAATGTCTTCTTTTTGATTCCTGACACTGTTTATTTTTTTCTCTTTCAACAGCTTCACCAAGAGAGCTGGTAATTATGTTTGTTTTTATTCCATTAGCTTATGTTCTTAACTTTATTATTTCCTTCCCTCATCTTTCTCTGAGTTTAATTTGTTATTTTTTCTATCTCCTTTAGATGGACTCTTCTTTTTACTTTCTCTTTCTTTTTTCTTTCTTTCCATCTTTCTTTTCTTTCTTT